AAAATTCTTTACCTAACTTTATAGTGTATATCAAAATCTACCCCAAAACTCATTACTTAACTTTATAGTGCATTCCAAAATCTACCCAAAAATTATTTACTTAACTTTATATTGGATACCAATATCTACCCAGAAACTATTTACCTAACTTTATAGTATATACCAAAATCTACCCAAAAATTATATAACTAGCTTTACAATGTATTCCAAAATCAACTGAAAAACTCTTTACCTAACTTTATAGTGTACACCAAAATCTACTCAAAAACTCTTTACCTAACTTAATAATGTATACAAAAATCTACTCGAAAACTATTTACTTAACTTTATACTGGATACTAAAATCTACCCAGAAACTATTTACCTAACTTTATAGGGTATACCAAAATCTACCCAGAAACTATTTACGTAACTTTGTAGTAAACCAAAATCTACCGAAAAACTCTTTACATGACTTTATACTCGATACCAAAATCTTCCGAAATCCTCTTTACCTATCTTTATAGTGTATGCCAAAATATATCCGAAAACTCTACACCTATATTTATAGTGTATACCAAAATCTACCTCAAAATTCTTTACGTGACTTCATATTGTATACCAAAATCTACCAAAAAAACTCTTTACCTAACTTTTTGTGTATACCAAAATCTATCCAAAAATTATTTAGCTAACTTTATAGTGTATATCAAAATCTCACTAAAAATTCTTTATCTAACTTTATAGTATATACCAAAATCAACTCAAAAACACTTTACTTAACTTTATAGTGTACATCAAAATCTCCCGAAAAACTCATTATTTAACTTTATGGTGTATCCCTATACACTATGAAGTTAGGTAAAGAGTTTTGGGGTAGATTTTCCCAATTCTATAGAAAAACTCTTTACCTAACTTTATGGTGTATACCAGAATCTACCCAAAAACTCATTAAATAAGTTTCTAGTGAATACAAAAATCTACCGAAAAACTCTTTACCTAACTTTATAGTGAATACAAAACTCTACCGAAAAACTCTTTCCCTAACTTTATATTGTATACCAAAAGCTAACAAAAAACTCTTTACCTAATTTTATAGCATATACTAAAATCAACCGAAAAACTCTTTACCTAACTTTATAGTGTATACCAAAATCTATCGAAAAACTCTTTACTTAACTTTATACTGGATACCAAAATCTACCCAAAAAGTTATTACTTAACCTTATAGTGCATACCAAAATCTACCCAAAAATTATTTACTTAACTTTATACTGGATACCAAAATCTACCCAGAAACTACTGTATTTACCTAACTTTATGGTTTATACAAATATCTTCCCAAAAACTCTTTATATACCAAAATATACCAAAAAACTATCTACCTTTGTTGTGTATACCAAAATCTACCCCAAAACTCTTTACATAACTTTATAGTGAATACAAAAATCTACCGAAAAATTCTTTACCTAACTTTATAGTATATACCAAAATCTACCCCAAAACTCTTTACCTAACTTTATAGTGTATACCAAAATCTATCGAAAAACTCTTTACCGAACTTTATAGTGAATACAAAAATCTATCGAAAAACTCTACCTAACTTTTTAGTGTATACCAAATTCTATCGAAAAACTATTTACCGAACTTTATAGCGTATATCAAAATCTTCTGTAAAACTTTTTACTTAACTTTATAGTGTATACTAAATTCTACCCAAAAACGTTTTACCTAAATTTATATTGTATATCAAAATCTACCAAAAAACTCTGTTCATAACTTTATAGTGTATACCAAAATCTACCCAAAAACTCTTCACCTAACTTTATAGTGTTTACCAAAATCTACCCAAAAATTATATAACTAACTTTATAGTGTACACCAAAATCTACACAAAAACTATTTACTTAACTTTATAGTGTACATCAAAATCTCCTGGAAAACTCATTATTTAACTTCTTAGTGTATACCAAAATCTACTGAAAAACTCTTTAACTGACTTAACAGTGTATAACAAAATCTACCCAAAAACTCTTTACCTAACTTTATAATGTATACCAAAATCTAATCAAAAACTATTTACTTAACTTTATACTGGATACCAAAATCTACCCAGAAACTATTTACCTAACTTTATAATGTATACCGAAATCTATCCCAAAACTTATTACTTAACCTTATAGTGTATACCAAAATCTACCCAAAAACTCTTTACTTAACTTTATAGTGTACATCAAAATCTCCCGAAAAACTCATTATTTAACTTGATAGTGTATACCAAAATCTACTGAAAAATTCTGTAATTAACTTAACATTGTATAACAAAATCTACCCTAAAACTCTTTACCTAACTTTATAATGTATACCAAAATCTACTCAAAAACTATTTACTTAACTTTATACTGGATACCAAAATCTACCCAGAAACTATTTACCTAACTTTATAATGTATATCGAAATCTATCCAAAAATTATTTACCTAACTTTATAATGTCTACCAAAATCTACCCCAAAACTCTTTACCTAACTTCATAATGTATACCAAAATGAACCGAAAAACTCTTTACCTAACTTTATGGTTTATACAAATATCTACCCAAAAACTCTTAACCTAACTTTATAGTGAATACCAAAATATACCAAAAAACTCTTTACCTAACTTTATAGTGAATACAAAAATCTACCGAAAAACTCTTTACCTAACTTTATGGTATATACCAAAATCTACCCCAAAACTCTATACCTAACTTCATAGTGTATACCAAAATCTATCGAAAAACTCTTTACCGAACTTTATAGTGAATACAAAAATCTACCGAAAAACTCTACCTAACTTTTTAGTGTATACCAAAATCTATCGAAAAACTATTTACCGAACTTTATAGCGTATACCAAAATCTTCCGTAAAACTCTTTACCTAACTTTATAGTGTATACCAAAATCTATCGAAAAACTTTTTACTTAACTTTATAGTGTATACTAAATTCTACCCAAAAACGTTTTACCTAACTTTATAGTGTATTTCAAAATCTACCAAAAAACTCTGTTCATAACTTTATAGTGTATACCAAAATCTATCGAAAAACTCTTTACATAACTTTATAATGTATACCAAAATCTACCAAAAACTCTTCACCTAACTTTATAGTGTATACCAAAATCTACCCAAAAATTATATAACTAACTTTATAGTGTACACCAAAATCTACACAAAAACTATTTACTTAACTTTATAGTGTACATCAAAATCTACCAAAAAAATCTTTACTTAACTTTATAGTGTACATCAAAATCCCCCGAAAAACTGTTTATCTAACTTTAGTGTATACCAAAATCTACCCAAAAACTCTTTACTTAACTTTATAGTATACATCAAAATCTCCCGAAAAACTCATTATTTAACTTGATAGTGTATACCAAAATCTACTGAAAAACTCTGTAATTAACTTAACAGTGTATAACAAAATGTACCCAGAAACTATTTACCTAACTTTATAATGTATACCGAAATCTATCCAAAAATTATTTACCTAACTTTATAGTGTATACCAAAATCTACCCCAAAACTCATTACTTAACTTTATAGTGTATACCAAAATCTACCCAAAAACTCATTACTTAACTTTATAGTGCATGCCAAAATCTACCTAAAAATTATTTACCTAACTTTATAGCATATACCAGAATCTTCCAGAAAAACCTCTTTACCTAACTTTATAGTGTATACCAAAATCTACCCCAAAACTCTTTACCTAACTTCATAATGTATACCAAAATCAACCGAAAAACTCTTTACCTAACTTTATAATGTATACCAAAAAACTCTTTACCTAACTTTAAAGTGTATACCAAAATCTAACAAAAAACTTTACCTAACTTTATAGTGTATAACAAAATCTACCCCAAAATTCTTTACCTAACGTTATAGTATACGAAAATCTACCCCAAAACTCTTTACCTAACGTTATAGCGTATACCAAAAAACTTTTTACCTAACCTTATAGTTTATACCAAAATTTCACCAAAACTCTTTACCTAACTTTATAGTGTATACCAAAATCTACCCCAAAACTCTTTACCTAACTTTGTAAAGTTAACTTTACTACTGAAAAACTATCTACCTAACTTTATAGTGTATACCAAAATCTACTCAAAAATTATTTACCTAACTTGATAGTGTATACCAAAAACTCTCTACCTAACTTTGTAGTCTATACCAAAATCTACCCCAAAACTTTTTACCTATCTTTGTAGTGTATACCAAAATCTTCCATAAAACTCTTTACCTAACTTTATAGTGTATATCAAAATCTACCCAAAAATTATTTACCAACCCCTTACCAGAAATATATTCTAGATATGAAACCAGGTGATACCTTATCATCTACTTTTAACTTACAATTACATTCAAAGTCCAAACAAACTAGATTTCTGAACAGTGTGCATCTCTCTTTTTTTTAAGGTCCCAATTTAATCCAAATACTTGCTACTCATTAGACAACTGTAGTTTTCCTGCCAGGTTGATCTTCTCATAGTTATTCAGGTTGCTGTTTCTTCCAGATTCTCTGCCTCACAGTAAACAGCATTATTCTGAGTTGTTTTCCAGAAACTGAACAACTCTAAGGTTTCTCACCAGTGTGTATTTTTAATTAATTGTATGCTCCTACTTGTTTTCCACAAACTGAACAATTTTAAGGTTTCTTACAAGTATGTTTTCTTAGATTTTTTTCAATTAATTGTTTGATCCTAGTTATTTTTCACGAACTCTTATAACTGTAAAGGTTTGTTCTGGTTTTTATTCTTTGATATGTTTGTAATTTCTCAAAAAGGATATTGAATTGTAGGAGCAACTAGAATGATAACTGTAATCACAAATGGACAGGTCAAGGTTTTGACTCTAAACTTGTATTCTATTGAAAAAGGAAGAATTATAGATCTGATTTATATGCTTAAGATTGTTAGAAGAATTGATAAGGTTGATACATTGTCTTTTTTCATATTTAATGATAAAAATGCTCAGACTAAAGTATACAAATAACTTTCAGCAGTCATCTTCAGCTAAGACAACTTTATTTTTCTAAAAGTAGTTGGAGTTTGGAATATGTTACCTTCACAAAAGTTTGAAATAACTGGCTTTGAGATTTTTTTCCTCTTTTTTTGTAGGTTTAACTTAGAGAACAGGAAAACTTAGATGGACCAAATGGTCCCTTGTTATCCTTTAATGTTATATCTTATGTTACAAAACTACACAATAGGTTACATGTTCTGCACCAACCAATGGTATTAAATCCATATTATTAATTATTGCAAAACATCAGAATTACTGCTGAGGTATGTGGTTGGAGGTTACACAAATGTTTCTCCCAAGTGTACATATTTTGATATGGTTTTAAGCTATAGTTACATACAAATCGTTTTGTATGTAACAATAAAACATCAGAATTACTGCTGAGGTATGTGGTTGGAGGTTACACAAATGTTTCTCCCAAGTGTACATATTTTGATATGGTTTTAAGCTATAGTTACATACAAATCGTTTTGTATGTAACAATAAAACATCAGAATTACTGCTGAGGTATGTGGTTGGAGGTTACACAAATGTTTCTCCCAAGTGTACATATTTTGATATGGTTTTAAGCTATAGTTACATACAAATCGTTTTGTATGTAACAATAAAACATCAGAATTACTGCTGAGGTATGTGGTTGGAGGTTACACAAATGTTTCTCCCAAGTGTACATATTTTGATATGGTCTTAAGCTATAGTTTTCCACAAACTCCACACCTTTGTATAATCATATATACTTTTTTAATTTTTTTCACTAACTCGACAACTGTAAGGTTTCTCCCTAGTGTGTCTTCTTTGGTGTATTTTTAATTCACTGTTTGTTCCAAGCTTTTTTCCACATACTGTACATCTGTAAGGCTTCTCACCAGTGTGTCTTCTTTGATGTATTTTTAATTCACCCTTTGTCCCAAACTGTTTCTCACAATCCGTACAACTGTAAGGTTTCTCACCAGTGTGTCTTCTTTGATGTGTTTTTAATTCACTCTTTGTTCCAAACTGTCTTTCACAAAGTGCACAACTGTAAGGTTTCTCTCCAGTATGTATTCTTTGATGGCATTTTAAGTTACCATTTGTTATAAATTGCTTCCCACACACTGTACAACCATAAGGTTTTTCACCAGTGTGTATTCTTTGATGTTGTATTAAGTTACAACTGGATATAAATTGTTTAGAACACACTGTACAACTGTAAGGTTTCTCTCCAGTGTGTATTCTTTGATGTGTTTTTAAGATACTATTTGTACCAAACTGTTTTCCACACAGTGTACAACTATAAGATTTCTCCCCAGTGTGTATTCTTTGATGTCTTTTTAAGATACTACTTGTACTAAACTGTTTTCCACATATTCTACAACTATAAGGTTTCTCCCCAGTGTGTATTCTTTGATGTGTTCTTAAGTGACTATTTGTAGAAAACTGTTTTCCACAAACTGCACAGAGGTATGGTTTCTTTCCAGACGTTTGTTGTTTTAGGTTACCAAATGTTTTTCCACAACTTTTTGAGCCTTTTACAATGCTTTCATTTAACTTTGTTTCTGCACAGATATTGTTATTTGGGAATTTTATTTCTTCTGTAATGTGATCTTCTTGATAACCAGGAACCTGACTTCTATTACAGATGTTCACACTGGTCTTTATATCTAAAATAGATAAAATGATGTAACAAATTAGTTAATAATAATAAATATATAATACAATACTTTATTTGATGAACATTTAAATATATTTCAATGTTCTAATATAATCAACACAAATATCAATATCTAAATATTAAAGATAAAACTAATTATGATGTAGTTTTCATAGTTTCAACTTTATAAAAACATGTCTACCTAGATCACAATAGCACTGAAAACATAAAAAATCATTAATATACCATGTTTAAGAAAGGGTTTTAATAAATAAAGTCTAAATTTGCTTGTAGAAATATTATGGCACAATGTTAGAACAACAAACACTACTTTCAGCCAGTAACTTCCTGAATTAAATGTTAGACATGTTAATTAACACCTGTTAAAATGTTCTGTATGTGTTACATAAAAGTTTATAAAAGTCAATATTTAGACTGAACTAAAATGTTTATCTATATATTATTTATCAAGTTTATGTATCATTCCTGTGATTAGAAGCTGTTTGATTACTGACTTCAACATGTTAAATTAAAGGATTGGAAACTTGGGATTATTCAAGTCATACATTCTATAAGCTGGTAGTGTTCAGGAAAGTCACATCTATGGTAATAAATGACAGCAGAACATTCTTTGAACATGAAAAAGCAAAAATCAAACAAACATTGGTCAGTTAGAAAGTTTCATAATATTTCATTTTATAGAAACAAGTACTGTTCTCCCCATTCATTTTGACACAAACTTAATCTTAACATTATTTAAATGTTTTGTTGTCATTTTATCACATTCAAACTTTCACATAATAATTAGAAGTAACAAAAGACAAACCAAACACAGATCTACAAACTTCATATTAATTCTGTCTAATATGATCACCAAGAATTCTATTTTGACTTCACAAACATCTAATTTGAACCAGTGCTGCATTCAACATACCACGTGATACACAAAAATTAATATTTACCTGTTGTTGTTTTTTTAATATTTACCTTTAAATTAACAAATTGTGTAATATAAAGTTCTAAAATTCGAATTATAATCTGTAATTCTATGGTATTGATGTAGTAATTTACAATTGTTTAGTTATTAAAAAGTATATATAAAACTAAAAAAAAACATTTGTTTCATGTCCTTCACGTGCAAAATTTTACAGGCTTTAGCAACGGAGTACAAAGGT